TCTTAGGATATTGTTATATGAGGATTTTCTAGTTGCGGAGAGGACACTTCATTCTTGTAAATTTTACATTTCTTTGTTTTTCACAATAATTGGCATGGGTTTCTTTTCCTTGATTTTCTCCATTATCCTTGGCTAGATCTCTTTTGTGCCTCTGTGATTTAGGATTAGTGATTTTTTCATGAATTTTTTAGATGATTTTATGTAATGTTTTTCAAGCCGTCAAGTCTTTATGTTGTTGGTTAACCTTTTAGATTTCATTTACTTCTAGTCTAATGAAATAAGATGTTAAAATCTATCGTGATTTATGACTTCTGCGTATTGCATCGTGGAATGATTATGTCGATTGCATAATCCTAGTAAAATAGGCATATTATAATTAGGGTTTTGCAACCTATGTATGGGATCAAAAGAATTGTGGGATATGTCATGGGGTTAAGAGAAACTTAACTTCATGGGTTTCTAATTTTTTTCCTAACCTAGGCATGGGTTTAATAAGAAAACTTATATATGGTTGATAACTATCATGTGGGAAAACATTAAGGAAAACCACGAGTCACTGAGGCAAGAACTCATTTCTCTCGTATGACACCATGTTTCTTTCTACTTTTTATTTTTTGTTTTATGATATCATTTTTTATTTTTGTTTACTATTGAAATTTTAGGGTTTCAATCCTTTGTTGTGAGCATGTTGAGCTAGGTTTACAAAGTTAGTAAACTAAAGATTTTTCTATAAGAATAATTTTAAGTCCTTTCTTCATGTCATCGACACGTGGACTCTTATAATGCAAATTAGTTGACATATACTTACGTGATTGACAGATTTGTCTCTCTGCATCTTTTCGATCATCACATGCAAACAAATTGAATGAAAATTGGATAATTAAGTCTTTAACAACTACTTAATGAGTACATGTAGAGTTTTACGTAACTTGAACGTCTGCTCTCATACAAGAATAAACACGAACAAGACTTATTCTAAAACTCTAACATGACTTATACTAAACTTGAATGTTTGCTACAAAGTTAATTTAAATCTCTTTGAAAAATATTGGTATCACTTACTTCATGGTTAAGCTAAATGAATAAATGTTTTGTTTCTTGAATATATAATAAGATGTTTACTCATCCTACTCGTTATTAGATCGTAACATTCTTTCAACACCTTACACAATTATAATGTTATAATATTCATGTAGACATCCAAAAGTTGTGATAATTTAAAAATTTATATCTTTTTTATGTTATTTGTAATTTAAAGTTTGTTGTATTGATATTCATGCTTGTATTTTAAGAAGCATGCAAATATATAAAACTCTAATATTTTAAATTGTGTGCTTGCATCAATTCTCAGCTCTTAAAATGCTCTGAAATATATGTACAAACATCTTACAAGTGCATTGAGATCCATGCTAGCGCATGGTATAAATAAATCGAGATCATGCATTATTACCATCAAAAAATCTGTATGTGCTTTGACCAAGATGCTAAATACTTAATTATATGGTCTAAAAATATTTTTTGGCCCGTATAAATAAATTTTAAGTCATCTGCTGTTGATTCGACCATCATGTTAAATGCTCGATTGCATGGCTTGAGAATAATATGTTTGCTATAAAAACAAAATTCTAAATCAACAGCTTGTGCTTATACCAACATGTTAAATACTTAATTATAAGGTTTAAAATGTTGTGCAGGCTTGTATAAAATATTTTTTAAATAATTGCATTTACTCGAACCAATGTATAGAATGCCCAACCAATGTATAGGGTGTCTCAAGTACGTGATTCGAAATACTGCTTAGGCTAGCTTAAATCAAAGTTTAAATCACTCATATGTGCTCCCACCAATATATAGAGTGCTCAAATATTCGATTCAAGAACATTGCGTGAGCTACATATGAGTTTAGACTAAAATGTGTTTTAGCTTAAGAAGTTTGTAGTTATTCTAAAAGCAATTAAATATTTTAGATTTTACAAAATCTATCTTATAAAAATTATATTTAAGATGCTAAATTATCTTTGTTCTCAATAGGCTACATTGGCGGTAAGAAAAAAGTTGTAAGTCTTAATTCAATAGTTTGATCCTCATCTTTATAAGGATTGAAGTTGGCAAGACTAAGTCCATCCCTCATTAGTCCAATACTCCTTAGAAGGATTGAAGTCGACAAAGATTTATAATATTAGAAATATTTGAGTGAAAAACTCCAATTTAATTATGAATTAAAATGATACAAATAAAATGTCTTGATAACGTTCGAGTTGATAGAAGATTTTATATGTTCTAGATCGGCTACATTGCCAATAAGAAAAAGTTGTAAGTCTTAATTCAATAGTTTGATCCTAATCTTTATAAGGAATGTAGTTGGCAAGACTAAGTCAATCCCTCATTAGTCCAATACTCCTTAGAAGGATTGAAGTCGACAAAGATTTATAATATTAGAAATATTTGAGTGATAAGCTCCAATTTAATTATTATTTAAATTGATACAAATAAAATATCTTGATAATGTCTGAGTTGGTAGAAGATTTTAGTTGTATGGATCTAATTTGAAAATTAAGCATCAAGTGATATTTTAATAAACTAATTTAATATAAGCCATGAACATGATCATTTGTAAGCATATTAAAGTCTATAATGTTAAAATATATCATCCCTTGATGATGAATTTTTAAGTAAATTCAAATAAGTAGAAGATTTTAGTTGTATGGATTTAATTTGAAAATTAAGCATCAAGTGATATTTTAATTAACTAATTTAATATAAGCCATGAACATGAACATTTGTAAGCATATTAAAGTCTATAATGTTAAAATATATCATCCCTTGATGATGAATTTTTAAGTAAATTCAAATAATAAAAGTTAGAAATTTATTATCTTAACAAAATGTAGTCCACAATGTTCGAAAATATCAATTTTTTGATGATGACCATGCTAACAATAAATCTCAATCGAAAGGCTCTATCCTTAAAAAAATTAATTAAAAAAATTAAAAATATTTAAATAAAAACCTAAGCCAGTCCAAGAATACGTCTCATCCACCACGTGTTACCATTTATCAAGGGTAACAAACTTAATGTTAGCTTAAGCTCACAGTGTGTCAATATCTTATCAAACAAATTACTATATTTATAAAATAATATGTGAAGAAAGTAAATAACTCAAGTCATTTATTTGTGTAATTTGGCTTTGATAATTTCACAAAAGAGGTGATTACCATTAGAGCCTTCTTACATTGTGATTATAGCCCATATGCTCTCAACTGGTAGTCTACCCTTTTGAGTTGCGGATCAAATGGTATAGTTGATAGGGTAACTAGTCCTCTGTAATCTATGCTCGACATAAATTAGTCCCTTGTACAAATATCCACCCTAAATCTATAAGTTTCTATTTTAACAAAACAACACATGTCTACTGACAAGGATTCTTCTGCCAGGTTGAGTTAACTACATTCTCTTACTAAATAGATCAAGGATCACGACAAACCAAAATAATATAATTATGAGATCTTAGAACCATTCAGTGAATCAAGGTAACGATGCATCGAGTTCATCATTATTCCCCTCACCATTTACTCTAAGCATATATTGATAAATTAGTAATTTCAAAACCTAAATTCGTCGATACTTTATGCCAAGTCTTGATATTTAGCACCAAATAATTAGCTTTAATCATAAGAGTTCTTCCATTATCTGCAAGAGTAATTAACCACATAGGCTTGCGCCAATGGGATTTTCTCAAACCCCATATTTTAAAATCATCACAAAATGAGGTAAGAATCTCTGTATAGTAGTTTATCTACTATCTTATTTGCATTCTAAAAAATTGATCCGAAACCTCACAGTAAACTGCCTCGATCTCAATTTCATTTTCATTTTCTTTGGAAGGAGATTGGGGCATCAATAATTATGATCTCACTAATTATTTTATATAATCATTAGTTAACATTAAATTAACGAATTAGATTTTGTTACTACATTCACATTGAACTTTTTGTATATTCATGCACATATTATAATTCAGAAACATGATTTATCTTTTAGATATGTATTATACTTTATTTCACTTTAATACACTTCTTTATATCTATTATACTTTATTTCACTTTAATACACTTCTTATTGCCGATTTCCGTTGAAAGAAAAGGTAGCTCTGGATAGCAAGATGGCAAGAAAACTACTCACCATGTAATAATTCTCTTTTGGGCAAATGTAACATATTATAAAGAATTTGGGACTGATTAGTACAATTCTAATTATTATTAAATTAATTTTTTTAAACTCTGACTACTACTATAATCTAAAAAATAAATTAATTTCAATACTTTGCTTACTGCATATATTTTCATTGGGAAAAAATTTGCGTACGTAAGACGCACGCAGAGCTGCATATGTTAATAACCTACAAATAAGTTACAGGGAGGGTATTGGGGGATTATATCCGTGTTATACCCCCTGTAACCTCTTTGTAACCTACAAATATATAAAAACAGAAGCGTGAAACTTACTAGAAGGTACAGTTAGGTTACAAGGAGATTACATGGTGTATAACGCAATTATAACCTCCCAATACCCTCCCTGTAACCTATCTGTAGGTTACGCAACTCTGCGCACGTCTTACAACGCAATTATTTTCCTTTCCATTGGGAGCGGCTTTGAGTTTTGAAATGCGGCTAGTACAAATGGAGATTCTCATTATAATAAATGTTTATTTTTTACAAATAATTTACTATGATACATTCAGATATGTGATACAGATTGAATGTAAGATCCACTCCATTGAGTTGGGTCGTTACATACAATTTCATAACGAGCCTTCAGTTATGATTACTAAATTTATAAGGTGCATTTGAATTCAAGTAATTTAAGTGAAAAAATATCAGAAAAATCAAATCAATGTTTGCACATTAATAATGTACTTACAAATTGTTAGAACATTTCATTATTTCATTCTCATTGCAAAAAAATAAAATAAAATAAAATAAAAGAGAAAATTAGCCCATCAGATCCTTTCTTTCACTGAAAATGGCATGAATTGCTTCATTAACGTTCAAAAGCAAGGCTACATAAAGTTTAATAATAATGAAAACTGTCACTCAGAACAGTAAGTAGTTCTCCCGCATTACGTTACTCCTATACGGATGGCTTTGCATACACCCCCAATGCTATAATATACTAAGATGCATGTTGAAAATGGTTTGGCGTATCCTAAACAAATTCACTCTTCCAGCAGCTACTGATCAAACAGTCTGTATCAATTAATCTACATACAACAAAAAATCATGTGTTAGTTTGCTGATCCTGAAAGTAATAAATAGGGGTTTGTGTCCTACTTGCAAGAGATATACCGCTACAAAAAAATAATAAAATTAAAAAAAAAAAGATGCACATTAACGCCTGATGTGGACTACTATGAGATAAAAAAACTAGAGTTACTTGAGAAAGGACCTGCCGTAAGTATACTTTGTTTTGTTCTTCAAATTGCTATGAGGGAGTCTGCCTTGCTTGTGAGGATGGCCTTCTTTTCATTATGTTTTCAGCAGATGGACCCATCTCATGTATAAAATTAACAGACTCCGACAACCTGTTCAGAAGATTTATTAACGCAATGACTTCATTCCGCTGCAACTGCAACTGAAGCAAAACAACAGATATTAACAATCAATTCACAGTAAAATTTATAGCAGTGGAAATAAGATGTAGTCATCAACTAGGGGAACCCATATAAAATTCTTGTTTTTCTACGCAATGATCTTTTTTTATTCTTTTAGCTTTCGATGTGTATCACCTCTTTCCCAAAATTTGATGCATCCCATCATTAGAGGAAATTATTGACAAACAGGTATACCCACCAATTCACATGATTAGTGCATTCATAGACAATAATCTTCAATGTTGTACCAAGACAAAAAATTCGAATAATAAGATGGCAAGTAAGAGCACATTTTATTTCATTATTGCTCTACCACAGTAATTAAATGGTGGTGGGAAAAACTTTTAATGATAATGTACACATGGATAATTGAAATTATCATTGCAGCAAAAAGTAGAGCGGCATCATACACCCAAGTGTTTACCTTAGGGATTTATTGTTGATGCCTTATAACAGTTATATCGTTAACTTAATTGAGAGAATGGAGAAAATTCTCTAATTTAATTTTATTAGTGTGCTGAGATTAATTAATGAACTCTAACTAGCTGTAACTACTATGTATCATAGAACGAAGGATAAAAGCTTGGATCTTGTTAGATAATTATTTATGGTTCTCATTCTGCTTAACAACCTAATTCGAAAGGTATAGAGAGCTTCGTGCTTCTGAGCTGTTGCTTGAAGAGCTATTAGAATTTCCTTATGTAAGTTGTTCAGAAATCATGAGTTGATATTCACTGGTGATTGCTCAGCTCAATCTAATTGCTCATTTTGATTCAATTTCTATGAATCCTCTACTTATAACCAGATCAATGCCACCATGCTAGCTCGTGCCCACTCCAATGGTTATAATTAGGTATTAGATCGATGATGGTTCAGCAAATCCAATTCATAGATAGGATTTTGGCATAAAGGTAGAAATGTATTTTTTCTTGGCCAGATGATAACCACATTGCTGGTTTATCAACTACTCTGAAACAATTAATTGATGTAATTTTTGACAACCCAATCATCATATATCATCATGAAATTTGTGGCAACAGGGTATAGCATTAACTAAGTAAACCGGTATGAAATTATTGTGTTTTGCGGGTAGAATTTTTTCTTTTTCCTAGTTTATTTTCTGTTTTCAAAGTTTGAATTAAGTTCCACCAATATTCCCGCACTTAATACATCAAATCATAAGAGATAAAACTATAAAAGAAAGTGTTATACCAGCTGATTGGCATGGTTCTGACCATTAACAGAGAAAAGGATCTTCAATGCTGTTCCTAGACCAAGAACTTGAAGCTTTCCCCATAACCGGCATTTCTCACATCCAACACAATCCATCAATGCGCTGCAGAAAGCATATAAAATCAGAGATATTGTATATGTTTTTAAAATTCAGTAATGTAACGTCAATATGATAAACAAAGCTATTTAGAAGCATGCCTGATATTTCTGAATTGCTTCTGAATTTGCGGCTTTAGCTCAGGACTACTATCACCCTGCCATAACTTGGCCTCATCATAAGGCACTGGACAAGCAGCCCGCAGGTCTTGATTGAAGACAATTTGCCGAACTAGAGACTGAGTTTTCAGGTCTTCATCTGCATTACCTGTGCTATACTCTGCTTGTTCTAAAAAATCTGCAGCCTGAGATTTTATTTTATTTATTTTTAAAAAAATGCAGCATGATAAGAGAGCAGAGGTCTTGACTTGACAGAGAAGGTAAAATTTGTCAGGGCTAACTACTAGGTATTTTTATACTATCGAGATTTATAACCATTTAATGTGAAATTAAACCCACAATCTCACGTCTTTAAAGGGAAACAATAAAGAAAAATACAGGGGCCCAAAAAAATAGAACATTCACATACGCATGATGGGAGAAAAAATAAGCAGGAGTTAGGTTCAAATTTTGAACAGTTGACTGTTTAAGGAATAATTCATGTATAACTAAGTCTGTGAATTTAACTTGTAATATCACAATTTGTTGAATGACAAACGAATTCTATAGAGTTAATGCAAAAAAAAATAAAAAAGAGATTATACAGAAGCATGAAAAGGCATGCAAAGAGCAAAACAAAGTGCAGAAGCTCATATTGCCAAAATATCTAATATTATCAAATTATAAAAATTTTGTATTATGAAACATACGTTTAAAAAAAAATAATTTAGTTAAAATATTGGTTTCCCTTTCAAAGGATTCTCATTTCTATTTGGATTGTAGTCACCATAATATATGAAATACCTAGTGAGATAATATACTCAGACTCAATGTGTTAAGTAAGGTGGAGCCCGGTCCACAATTCCTTTTTTTGGAGAGATCTTGCAATTATGGAATATATTTAAATGTATTTAAATATTTCCTTAATGCATTGCTGCTTTTTTCCTTGGATTCGCTAATCAATTCTCTCGCCGTCTGCTTCTTCTGGATTCGCAAATAAGGATTTCCTTTGTTGGCCAAAAAGGCATGTCTTAATTGATGCGATGCTTCTAGTGCATTAATTAAAAGCCCAGATTTAATCTAGGCTTTAAGGTGCTGCTTACGGTTTTAGAATTAAAATTGCATGGCTCTCCCTCCTCTTTTGGGTGCTATATATACGGGTGAAGGAATTGGATTCCATATCTCTGATTTCTGGGGCCGAACTCTAAGGAGAAAAGAATCACAGTTGTTGTTCTCCCAGACTTTTTCTTCTGCAGTGGCTCTTGAGTAGAGGAGAGAAGAAGAGAGAGATTTCTTATAATCATCGAGGTGATCGACGGATGTAATCATCAAGCTAATAAAATCATCTGCAACTCTGTGGACGTAGGCAAATTGTCGAACCACGTAAATTTATGTGTTACGCTGTGTTTTTTCTGTTTTGTGATTTTTCTTGATCCAATTTTTTATTTTATTGTCGTTGTTTTCACAACAACTGATATTAGAGCTTTGGTTTGAGGCTGAAAGAAAACGATGGGCAAAGACGATGTGATAGCATCAGGAATCGATAAGTTTAATGACATAGATTTTGGTTATTGAATGATACAGATAGAGGACTACCTCTATGGGAAGAAACATCATTTTTCATTACTGGGAAAGAGACCGGAGAAGATGGACGAGACATAATGGAACTTGTTGGATCGAAAGATTTTAGGGGCTATTTGATTAACCTTGTCGAGATCAGTTTTCCACAACGTTATCAAAGAGATGACTACTGCAGATCTCATTGCGGCTTTATTAGATATGTATGAAAAACCATCGACGAATAATAATGTGCACTTGTTGAAAAAGTTATTAAACTTGAAGATGGTGAAATGTGTGTTTGTTATTCGATATCTTGATGATTTAAATACTATCAAAAATCAATTGTCATCTGTTAATATCACAGCAATTGTCATCTGTTGAAATTGATTTTGATGATGAGATACGTGTGTTGATATTGTTGGTTTCATTGTTAAATAGTTGGTAAGCCGTGATGATGACATTTAGAAGTTCTGCAAGTAATCCAAACTGAAATATGATGATATTTGTGATTTGATATTGCCCGAGGAGGTGACAAGAAAGATTATGGCGAGACCTCGGGCTCGAATTCGACACTGATTGTTGATTACAAAGGGATATCGTAGGACAAGAACTCAAACATAGGAAGATCAAAATCAAAGTTTGATCAGCATACAACCTGCTAGAATTGTGGCAATGTTGGCCACATAAAAAAGAACTACATGAATCATAAGAAAAAGAAGAATAATAGTGCAAATGTGGTAACTGAAGAAATACATAATGCATTATAACTATCAGTTCACTGTTCGGTTAATGACTGGATACTGGATTCAAAGACTTCATTCCATACATCTTACCACCGGGAGTTTGTGTGCAATTATGTGTAGGCAACTTTGGGAAGGTACATCTAGCTCATGTAAAAGCTCTTGACGTGATAGGGATGAGAAACGTTGATATTGCACATATAACTAAAGCAAATGGACCTTGCAAAATGTAAGACATATTCCTGAGTTAAAGAAAATCCTCATCTCTATTAGCTAGCTCAATGAGGGTGGTCATTCGGTAATGTTCTCAGATAGCACCTGAAAGGTTACCAAAAGAGCATTAGTATTTGCTCGGGGTAAGAAAACTGACACACTATATATGAATATTGGTTTACTCAACATTGTTGCTACTACGATTACAAAGAGCACAACAGATCTGTGACATTGCAGGCTTGGTCACATGAGTGAGAGCTATAAAAAAATCTTGCAAGATGAGAATTCGAGCAAGTGAGAGTTGACCAAGAAAGACGAGATGGGTTCCTTGTCAGGGAATCAAACTTGGGAACTGTCTTAATTTTCACCAGGGAAGAAGGCATTGCACAACAAGTGGGTGTATCGAGTGAAGACTGTGTTTGATGGCAGTTAGAGATACACGGTTGGATTTGTTGAAAAGGACTTTCAACTGAGGCAGGATACAAGAGTAACCCGGGAAAAAGCATGGAGGTACAGGGCTATGTTGGTGCTGACATATCGACCGGGGGTGTTACTCTTGAGAAGTTGAAGTTATACTCGACTTTAGCTGGTCTTCTAGAATAAAGACCGGGGCTTTGAGTTGTAGAGGTGGAAGACATTACGTTTGAGGAAAAGGGCGGTGCAGCCAGTGGATGGTGCGGCTAGTGTCCCAGTCTCCAAGTGGGGGAATGGTTAAGTAAGGTGGAGTCCGGACCACTATTCCTTTTTTAGAGAATTATTATAATTACGGAATATATTTAAATGTACTTAAATATTTCCTTAATGCATTGCTGATTTTTTCTTTTGATTCGCAAATCAATTCTCCTGCCGTCTGCTTCTTCTGAATTCACAAATAAGGATTTCCTCTGTGGGCCAAAAAGGAATGTCTTAAGTGATGCTTCTAGTGCATCAATTAAAAGCCAAGATCTTCTTAATCTAGGCTTAACGTGCTACTTACGGTTTTGGAATTAAAATTTCATGGCTCTCCCTCCTCCGTTGGGTGTTATATATACGAGTGAAGGAATTTAATTCCATATATTTAGCTTCTGCGACCAACAAAAATTAGACACGTTCCTGAGTTGAAGAAAAACTCATTTCTGTTGGGCAGCTCAATGTGGGTTGTCATTCAGTAGTATTCTCAGATAGCACTTGGAATGTTATCAAAGGAGCATTACTACTGACTCAGGGTAAGAAAATTAACACACTATATATGGCTATATGTTTACTCAGGCGTGAACACATGAGCCGGAGGTGCATTATGGGAAAGCAGAAGAAAATCAGTTTCCTGAAAAATGGCATAGCGCCAAAGGCAGGAAAACTGGATCTTGTACTGACAGATGGTGGAGAACCACAAAGCCATAAAGAAATCTTGCATGATGAAAGTTCGAGCAAGTGGGAGAAAATTTGAGCAAGTGAGAGCTGACTATGAAGAAGATGGATTCATTCGAGCAAGTGAGAGCTGACTATGAAGAAGATGGATTCTCTGCCAGGAAATCAGACTTCGGAGCTAATAGAATTTCCACCAGGGGAAAAGGCAGTGCACAACAAGTGGGTGTAACGGGTGAAGACTGCGTTTGGTGGCAGTAAGAAGTACAAGACTGGACCTGTTGAAAAAGTATTTCAGCAGGGGCGAGATATTGCTCATACAGTAGGAGTTATAATTAGATATAGGAGTAGCCTAGGAAAGAGCTTAGTGGTACAAGGTTATATTGACGGTGATATGTCAACTAAGGGTTTTACTCGTGAGAAGCTGAAGTTGTGCTCGACTTCAGCTGATTTCCGACATAAAAACCAGGGCTTTGAGTTGCAGAGGTGGAGAATATCACGTTTGAGGAAAAAAGACGGTGCAGTCAATGGATGATGCAGTCAGTGTCCCAGTCTCCAAGTGGGAGAATTGATAAGTAAGGTGGAGCCCAGTCCACTGTTTCTTTTTTGGAGAGTTCTTGCAATTATGGACTATATTTAAATGTATTCAAATATTTCCTTAATGCATTGCTGCTTTTTCCCTTGGATTCGCAAATCAAATTCTCTCGACGTCTGCTTCTTCTGGATTTGCAAATAAAGATTTCCTTTGTGGGCCAAAAAGGCATGTCTTAATTGGTGCTTCTAGTGCATTAATTAAAAGCTCAGATCTTCCTAATCTAGGCTTAAGGTGTTGCTTACAGTTTTGGAATTAAAATTGCATGGCTCTCCCTCCTCCCTTGGGTGCTACATATACGAGTGAAGAAATTGGATTCCATATCTCTCGCTTCTGCGACCGAACTCCAAGCAGGAAAGAATCGCAGATGTTGTTCTCCCAGGCTTCTTCTTCTATAGTGGCTCTCTGATAGAGAGAGAGAAGAAGAGAGAGAGGAAGAGAGATTTTTTGGAATCGTCGAGGTGATTGATGGGTGTATGTAATCCTCAAGCTAATAAAATTCTCTGCAATTTTGTGGACGTAGTCAATTTGCTGAACCACAAAAATTTGTATATTTTCGTGGACATAGTCAATTTGCTGAACCACAAAAATTTGTATATTTCTGTTGTGCTTTTCTATTTTGCGATTTTTCTAGATCCGATTTTTCGCTTTATTGCCGTCATTTTTTCACAACACAATGTACGTCATAAATCAGGCAGTAGTGAAGTAGACATGAATACCTAAAAAATGAACAATTTTTTTTATGAAATATATCTAAGGGGACATATAATAGTGCTATTAAGTGTGCCTACGTGATCTTCAGTAAAATGCAGGCATTTATATTTCAATTTAGAGATAATATAATTTTAGATGAAACATTATAAGAAAAAAATTACCTTTGTTACAGCCCGAAGAACAAACAAAAATGTAAAATATAAATTTCTGACACGATCTGGGTATCTCAAAACACGGTCATACAGCAACTCCAAATTTTGTCCCCACTGAAATTTTGCAGAAAAGTAGATGTTTGGTAATCTATATAATAAAAATGGATTTCAAAGCGATTTAGATTATTGAGCTTAAATTAATGTAACTACCATATTTGTAGCTTCATCAAAAAGATAATCTGAAGCAATGTGCACTGAGATTGAAGCATGCAATCCAGAAATCAACTTAAACAAAACTTTTTTCTCTGGGCAAATTTCTCCTGAAGAATCTAAGGTAAAAGCAAGAACAAAAGTTAATACTGAAGAAGCATAGTATTAAAAATTTCTTATACATATTACAAAAGAAACAGCACAATCGTATTTTTCTCCACATAGATCAAGTCATGCCATATAGCTGATCATTTAAAGAAGGCCAAAAAACAAAAAAAAAACAAACTAAACTTCGTTGTGCTCACAACTTTAACTCTAAGGTGTTATAAAGAGATTATGCTGGCATAAGTAAGAAAAAATGTTAATATGAGGGGAAATTCAGGCCCATTTAAGATGTCTCTTTTTGTTAAAAAAATGGAATTTAATTAAAATAAATCATGTTTTAAGACAGCCCGGAGGATTCCTTTAATTATTGAATATTTTCTGAAAAATAACATTTATATAAGAAAAAAACAAACTAGTATACCAAAACATATAGAAGCAAATAGACATGTGATAAAAAAGATGTCATATCAGATATTCTGCTAAATTCACCATAAAAATTAGCTTTTAGAAAACAGAAGCGATTTGCATATAAATATTTGTCAAAAATGTTATAAGAAAATACTATTGCAATAACAAAGGACAAATAAAAAATTGAATGAAAATATTGTAACTTTAACAAAATTTCCACATGCTAAAGTAAATTAGATAATTTTCAGGCAAAATATAATTGCCAGCATATTCAAACTTTGTAAATTGATTGATTCAATTACCATATTTAAACTCGATCAATCTATGTTTGCATTGACAAAGTATGAAAGCGATTAGAAGATTTCAGTAAGGCTTGAGCATAGATTTTTCAAGAATAAAATCAAAATAACCAAGATGATGGCACTCAACATTGCAGATTGCATACAAAGACAAACCAACATCCTAGTATAGTTCCTCGTTATCATCCTACTACATTTCTGTAGCTACAAAAGGGGACTAAAGCAACTAAGAGCACACCTAAAATATCCTCTGGTAACCTGTCCGTAATTTCTCTGAGTTATGATTACATTTAAAGAAAGGAATCGAGCAAGATTTTACTGCCCTCAAGTATTACAAGCATAAATTTAAGGAAAATTCTGATGCCCCAAAAACTAATGCTAATTTTAGTGACTAGAATTCAAAATTTGTGCAACGTTCTTCGATATATCAATAAAATGATTATACTTCAATATTCATAAACACTAAAGAGATGTTTGTATCTATGCACAGTTCTTACCAGTCAATACTGTCCAAATATTTTCCATGGCACGAGTTAAAAAAATTATTTTAACTTAAAAATAATAAGTAGAAATGAAGATGAGCACAACTTGCACAGAACTAACATCGTGGGCAGTTTTCAGTATAAATAGCATCCCATATCCTTCTAGCTGATGGACCAACATAACCGCTGTAGCGTTCAGGGTTTAGTTGGAGATTAACATATGTCATCTCCGCTGCCAAAAAAACAGAAATAAAACCTTCACGCTAGAAAAGTGATAATAATTATGAAAATACTAAAAAGTAAATGACACTGAATTGACAAACTACCATTATCCGTTTCATCATCATTTGTCCATGGATTGTCAATCTCAACCCACCCTCTAAAAGCTTTTCTATCTAGTGTGCGGTCCACAACAGCTTCTGGTTTCCCCTCCTGACAAATGAGATCATCAGATGAAAGCCCAACAAAGGGCTTCTTGAATGGCTCAGGGAACTCATTATCAGGACACTCACAAACACTACAATCACGAAGACGACACATCCCGTCATCAGGCCAAAATGGGCAATCACACCACAATTTAACCTGTAAAATCAAAAATAACTAACGAATCAAATAAAATTAATGGTTGAGCAATATCTCAGGTAATCTATTAATAAAAATTCTTAATTTTTAAAAGCTATTTTCTATAATAAGAAAATGAAATGAGTATAAAAAGAGCAATTGGCAAAAATCAACGGAGAAAAAATAAAATATACAAGAAAAGATATAGATGGCATGAAAGCTTTTGCTACTAAATTCCTACACAAAATCTCCAAAATAGCTCATTTAGATCTCCTTTCATTAAACCAGGTCAAAACACAGCAGTGAAGATGAAGATTTAAAATTAAGTAATTTAACATTTAGGCATTTTTTTCATCCGTTAAATAAGGTGTAAGCTTCAAGATGTTCTAAAATGTAAGCCCTAAAATAAATAAATTGCCCATGTCTGAAGTATTTTATACACATCAAAATATGAAATAAATAAAATGACAAATTCAAAACCTAACATGCTAACGCACAAAAAAAATAATATGTTAATATCCTAAAATAAAACGTAATAAATTGTAAAATATCAAATAATATACTAATATCCTAACATCAAACTATAAAGGAAGAAGTGTTATGAAAAACAATAAAGTAAAATAAGATATCAAAATAAGAAATAATAACAATTTTTAATTTTAAGAGAATTGGAACAAGCAGCTAATCAGAAAAGAAAAAAAATCTAAATAAATAAAGGGAATTTTTAATGTTTTAAAAGGAAAAAAGTTATATAGTTATTGGTAAGAAGAGATGTGGAGGAGGAAGAGGAAATGTGTCCCTTGGTAATGACACATTGGTGGTTGTGGCTAGAAAGGAAACGCCAGCACCGGTGGGCTAGAGACAACTGATGAAGATGTCAAAGTCAAGGGGTCTAGCCATACATGAGACTAAGAGCATGAGAAGAGCAAGATTGCATGAGGGAGGGAAATAATAAAAGTAGTTTTGCTTTATAATATTCTTTTAACATTATTTTTTAAAAGGTATCCAAACCCTAAAGAATATGTCATGACCTAGCTCGAGAGCTTAGAATTAACTAAAGTGAGTACGGACAGACGGACAATGAAAGACATTTTAAACATTAATATTAATCCACAATAACATTCATATAAGAAAGAGCTACTAAATCCACATCACACATGTAAGCAATCTTCTAATAAATCATATAATACCATCCAATCAGCTACAACAACACAAGTAATACAGTAAAAGTGATATAACATACAAAAAAAATAAACAAGCCAATACGCAGGTTAAGTTTAAGCAATTTAGGGAATAATTACTATTTTATCATACCTTAAATATTATGCAAAAACCTAACATGATTTCTCACTTGAACATGTTGATCAAACAATTAAAATTTATTTATGAAATTTGTATTTGTCATGTTATCGCTTACCTCTTCTTTAAACTAATCAATAAATTTTTTTCATTTCCCATTTTTCTTGTAATTTTAGAAGCAATCACATGAGCTCCATTAAAATGTATCAATAAAGGTATAATATTTACCATTTGTATCATAAAAGCATGCATTTACCACTTATACCACAAAGATACACCTTTACCATTTTCATTACATTTTACGTTCATGAGTAAAATAACATCTTCTGCTAATCCCATAAGGAGTGATTCTAGATAGACTTAACATTAAAATTTTTATTTACAATTATTTCATTCCTATAAACCATCACTTTCATTTATTTTTCATTTTAATGCAAAACAAAAAAAAAACAAACGAGTCGAAAATCATAAAATAATTATTTATTTTTCATTTAATTTCTTTCGGCTGTAAAGGTGTTTTTAATATGTAAAAACAAAAAGAATATTTAAAATAAAAGAACTGAATTTAATGTAAATAAAATAGCAATTACTACCTTTAACCTTTCAAAGACCTCCTTACAAGCTTAATCCTCCAATTTACTTCCTCTTATTATCATCTCTTCATCTCTACCTCATTTGCACAAACCACAATCCCAAAGTCTTAACTTGTTGAATCAAAATTCCTTTAACAGCTAATTCATTTAATTATATTAATACCAACTTAATAGCATGTAATTAAATAAACTAAATAACTTATATAAATAAAATACTCAAACTCTTACCTTACTAAAATTTGCCTAGATCGATAGTCCTTCCCACCAAACTTTCACTTATGTTATCAATTTTTAATTCATAAAAAAAATAATGTTACTATAATAACATTTTTAAATAAACATGTTATATAACTTGAAAACTTAAACCCTTACCTTACTAAAGGCATGGCTCGGCTCTTTTATATCTCGCACGCACGCGAGCTTCTCGCACACTAGGGCACGAGCTTCTTCATTCACGCTTAGAATGTGCACGAGGCATGCTCCTTATTATGCATTAGATGCCTAGCATTTGATTCAGCATCATCTCCCAATCCGTGCAAGTGATGACATGATCCCTTGCACACTTCAAAGTTGCTTGCTTCCCTCTAATGCATGATGCTCCTCTTTTCCTTCAGACAGCCAACACGCAGTGTCAAAGCCTCCCATGCATGCAAACCTCCACTTTGCTTGGCTAAAGCATGGCTCTTCTTCCCTTCTCCTTCGAACCAAGACTCATACTAAGCATACACTGGCATCGTCCATCCTCTTGTAGGCACCCACACACAATTGACTAAGATTTGGTCCTTCTCCAGCACCATTCTTTTCCATTTCTCGATCTCGTTCTATGTTTCTTTCTTTTGTTTCGTCCGGTTTGAAAGAGGCATTTGTCTCCTTAAATGAAATCGTTAAGATGACCGCTTCCCTTCGAATCGACCCTAAAAAATTTATTATTATTATTATTATTGATCTCTAAGTGTAAAGCCACTTCTCCTTAGCTGATAAGGAACTGTAAGTGTAAAGCCACTTCTCCTTAGCTGATAAGGAACGACTTAATTGTAATCATTATAACTTACCAAAGATAAAATAACACAAAAAAGAAAGAAATATGACATAAAAAAGAGGATAACACTAAACTAGAAAACTTAAATTCCTCACTGCCCCTCAAGATAGGTCATAAATTTTGTAAAGGTCTAACTTGGTATTCAAATCAATGAAGCTGCCTGAAGATAGAACAACAACAAAGCCTTAATCCCACTACGTGGGGTCGGCTGCATGAATCTTTTTTCTCCATTGCGTCCTATTTAGTGTCATATTTTCATTTAGTTCTAGTAAATTAAGATCATTTTTTATATAATAAGCCCAAGTCTTCCTAGGTCTACCTCTGCCTTTCTTAACACAAGTCGAATTTAAA